CAGTATGAAGGAAAGGAAAATAGCTTTTATAGTCAGATGGGAAGAAATTTGATTGTCAACTTTGCTACTATGTTTTTTTTTTTGCTAGTCAACTCAAGTAATATATTGAATATTTCTAAGCCATACTTTTCTTTCTCTATAAATTTTTTGTAATATCACTGTTATTGAAGTTTTTATAACAATTAAAAATAACACTGGCGTGTAAAGAATGGGGAATCAATAAATCAATACTGTAGTATTTTATGGTTATACTAATAAATGTTAATTCTACAAAAAAAATTGTTATTACTTAGACTCTGTCTGGACTGGGTCCTCAGTAAATAACATGAAGTAATGTAAAATCTCTAGTCTGTGATTACAATCATGTTTTGACATGTTTTATGAGCTCTTCTTATATGGATTTTTGATAATATGCTTTCCAAATTATTGGCAGATCTATTCTTTATACTACAAACTGGATAATAGAAAATGATTTATACAGTTATATTGAATTTACAAGTGTTAGAGTAAGCCGTGTTAATTATTGCTATGTCATTCTTGCAAGCTAACAGGAACTGAGACAAAACATAACCCAAACTAAATATAATTAGCATTAAAATGACTCAAGCATGAAAAAATAATTGAATGGGTCTTCAAATACCTTATTCTTGTCAACAAAAGAAGATCATGCTTGTTTGCAAACATTCACTTTAATTACTTTTCTCCTGTTTTTTGAAATGAGAGGTATTTTACATCCTTATCATATTTATCCAATAATTTTTTTGACATTACAAGCAATGCTATCATAAAAAATTAACCTGACTATTAAAACTAGGTGATGTTAGATAAAAAAAAAAAAATCTTACAGAATACATACCAGGTGCCCACCTCCGTAAAAAGTAATCATTTTTTCTTTCAAAACGTGTATTTATTAGGGACTCCCCGGTGGCGCAGCGGTTGAGCTCTGGGTTGCAAAGCTGCCCGCAGCCTCTGCAGCACCTGTTCAATCCCTGGCTGCTCCCCGACCACCGGAGGAGGGTCCCACATGGCGCGCAGACCTCTCCTGCTGCCCGCTGCTCCCCTCAGCAGTGTGCTCCGGTCCTTCTGCCTGCTCTGCTCCCCGCTCTGGCTCTGGTGAATTCTCTCACCCACCCGGGCTTCTGACTGTACCCAGTGCTTGTATAAATAAATAAAATAAATAAATAAATAAATAAATAAGCCTTAAAAAAAAAAATGTGTATTAGTTTTCAAAAGTCAATTAGTTTTCTAATCAATTTCTACTCTTTAGAATGTAATTCCCTTATTCTGAGCTCTGTAAAGTTAATAAATTTAAGGAACATATTTACATGGAAAGATTTTTACTTGAGTGTTCTATCCAACTCCTTATCTGTAGACCTTGGGTGAGCAGCGTATTTACTGATCCATAACTATGATTTAAAAAAAAAAAAAAAAGTTCTGTTCCCCACTCTGTCTCTGGTCAATCCTCTCACACACACTTCCTCCCATCCTCCCCACACCTCTGGCCTGTACCCCAGTTCTTGTATGTATAAATAAATAAACTTAAAAAAAAAAGTTCAAAAAATTTAAAAGGAGACAGAAAGAAGAAGCTATAGAAAATAAGAGTAGAAAGAAGCTAAAAGTTTTTTAGTGTAAATTTAGGGAAAGTACTACAAAATTTTAAGAAGCTGGGCTAGAGTAGATAATTTTAGACATAGAGCAGGATTTTGATTTGATGGACAAGGCATTTGTTCATTGATAGTAGAGTAAAGGGAAGCCAAGACTATATTCCCTGAATATTTGTTGGGATTCAGTTCTTTCAATTCCTAATGTATGACAACTCTCTCAATTAATTTTATAAGGAAGAGAGAAATCAGACAAAGTCAGATTAAAAGAGCCACATAGGACCTCCCTGGTGGAGCAAGGGGTTAAGCACAGCACTGTGAATCCATCTGCAGCCTCTGCGGCATGAGTTCAATCTTTGGACAGCCAGGGAGGTGACCCATATGGTGAGCAGACCTCTCCTGTCTCACCCTCTGCTCCCCTCAGCAGTGTGTTACAGTCAGCCTGCCTGTTCTGTTCCCCATTCTGTCTCTGGTGAATCCTCTCACCTCCACACCTCTGGACTATATCCCAGTTCTTGTATGCATAAATAAATAAATCTTTAAAAAAATAATTAAATAGAAAAGCCACATAGGGAAATTTTCTATAATCACAGAATGATCCCAGGAATACAAGCTTCCTTTTAGTGTGCTCAGAACTGATGCTCAGCAGGTAGATCGTCTTTTGGTTTATTAGTTGTAAATTTATTGAAAGAATTCTATGTTTGAATAAAAGTCTGATGTCGGGTTTATACACATGTTCCCTTAATATGCCTAGTCAGCTTCACCCTGGGTGCTTCTGAATTCTAAACTCAGGCAAATAGAGGGGTATTGTCAGGTATAGTAGGACAGTCCAGGGTGTGTCAGCATTATGGCTGGTGTAAATTCTGGCATCTGGGTACCTGTGTGAAGCAACAGGTCAATATTTTGCTTATCACCCTTATATTATTTCTTGGCTTTTGAAAGAAATGCATTTCAACAATAATAAAAGGCTGAAATGATCTCTGAGATGTAGGAATGGGACCAAAATAGCTCAAAGCAGAATTTTGCCTATTTTAGAATTTGAAGTCCACTGAAGTGGGGGAGACCCCATCATTAAAATAAAATTAAATTGGAAGTCTTATTCTTTCATGAATACAAATTACAATTATACTAAGGAGAAAAAGTTGTCATAGTCCATTTTTTTCCTGTTATCCTGCTATCAGTCATACGCAAATATAACATGAGTCACTTTTTTTTTTTTTTAGTAATCTATTGTATTTCCAGTCAGTTTTAAAATCAGTATTCCCTCAACTCATCTCCTGTCACTTCTTGATTTACAAAAGCAAAGACCCAGGGCTCTATCCATATTTGAACTTGAGTGTCTTTCATGACATGAAGTCTTGGCACATGCTGCCTTCCTGGAGTGTCTGTCACCTTTCATTATACCTGTGACCCCTTCAGTCTTCAAGTTTCAGATCAAATGGCATCTCCAAATGTATATTTTCTGCATAGGTGATGTGTCATCTAACTTGGGAATGCCATTATGCCAAATGATTTATTTTAGAGAAACATTTTTTTATGAATTTTATAATTTTTATTGAATTAGCTTTGCATTATAACATTATATAAGTTTTCAGTGTGTTAAAGTATTTTAAAACTGGATAATTATAGGAAGGATATGAGTTTGCCCAAATTTATTATTTGAAACAGTGAATTTTAAGTATTATTGGGTTCAAAAGTAATTTTTCTTCTGAGTTATCCCTTTTTCATATGTAATTGTCTAGCTTTCTTTATATCCATTTACATTTCTGGGTAAGATTATATGAATTAATGTGCCTGTTCTAAATCTATGACTTGAAACAATCACTTCCCAAGTAAAATACAGATGCCTTTCTGGAGAGTGCCATTTACTTAATTACAATGTATTTCATGACTTTGTAGACTTGTTTTCATTCATAATATAAAAGTTAATTAATATGTATAAGATAGTTTTGTTGTCATAAGATTTCTTCTTATTTATCTCAAAATAGCTAAATCAATACTTAAATTTTCTGTAGTATGCTTCTTATAAAGATTAAATGGGTAAGCTTTAGCATATGTGATATTAATATGGAAAAATTAATAACCATGTTTTAAATATTTTCTCATATAGCAAGGATTATCGTATTTTTTTGTCTTTTATCGTAGACACATTATATGGAAAATGCCATAATTTCATGGGTAACAAAATGTCATTTATTCTCTTGATCAACTTACAACTCATAAGAAGCTATCCCTGAGATAGTCAATAATTTTTGAAGATTTATTTTTATTTGTTCATGCATACAAGGACTGGGGTGTAGGCCAAAGGTGTAAGGAGAGTGAGAGAATTCACCAGAGACAGAGTAGGGAGCAGAACAGGCAGATAGACTGACATACACTGCTGAGGGGAGCTGCGGGATAGTACAGGAATGCTGTGTTTTGTGGGTTAGCTTCCTGGCCTGGGGTCAGGGATCAAACTCGTGCCACAGTGGCTGGAGATAGCTTGATAACACTGAGACTTTAACCCCTGTACCACCAGGGAAGCCCAAATAGTCAATATTGTTTATAAAATAATACATAGAAATTCTAGTTGTACTTACTATTCTAAGTGACTTAGATAAATATTCTAAATGACTTGGAAACTCAAAGCAACCCTATAAGGCAAGTGTCATTCATATTCTTTTTTTACAAATGAGAAAACCAAGATTACAAGATAGTAAGTGATTGATCTAGTATTCAAAGCCTAGCATTGTGAATACAGCATCTGTTCTGCTAACCTCTAAGCTATATTTCTATATCGGACATGAAATGAGTAGGTCTCCTTCCATCAGAAATGATCACTGCAAGACAAATTTTCAGATAGCAAGAGAAATTAGAACACAGATTTGAAGAATAAAAGTAATTTAATTGAAAGATATTGTAAGTGAAAGAGAGATAAATAGAAGTTAGCCATTAGGAAAGAAATTATAACATAGAAATAAAGTTTGAAAACAACAGTAATATTTGAGGGGTCACAAAAAGAGCTGTTAGACTGGATAGGAGCTTTTATTTAGAATATGAGAACGATGAATATGTTTGTAGTGCCTTGCTGAAGATAATTATTTGCATGTAATATCATTACCTCTTTAGATTTTTTTCAATACATTTTCTATAAATTGATTTTGACATTGGCACTTGTGTAATTTTCATATCTTAAATGTCAATCTGTTATTATTCTTGTGCTACTTTCTTCTCATTAATCCCAACTATGACACTAAAATATCATCATGTCAAGAATGTAATTACTACTCAAGGAGTATACTTTCTTTTAAATGAATATATGAAATTTGGACACTAATAAAAATACTTCCAGGTAAACATTTTCTAAACAAGAATGCAAAAATTCAAAAGCAGCAGTTTATATCATTGTTTTCTTTTCAGGTAAACCAGTGATGATAGTGACAGAGTACATGGAAAATGGCTCTTTAGATACATTTTTAAAGGTAAGATTTGTTACAAAGTATTTAAAGTGTTACATACAGCAAGTGCTCAAATAACACCCTTAGATGAGCATTGTTATAACATTGCTGAAAGGGGAAAAAATCCATTCTCAGCTGGTGCTACTGTCTGTGTGGAAATGGCACCTTTCTGCCCTGTCTGTATGAGTTTTCTCTGGATACTCCACTTTCCACTTGTATCCTAAAGATGTGTATATTAGTTTCACAGGCATATCTAAATTGTCTCTGGCTGAGAGTCGTGTGTGTGTGTGATTGTGCCATATGATTGATTGAAGGGCAGCCTTTCTAGGGTGGATTCCAGCCTTGAGTAGAGATGTCTGGATAGGCTGTGGACACTGGTAACCTAAACTGGAATAAGAAGATGGGAAAATGAATGAATGAATGAACGAACAACAAATGAATGAGTGAATACAGATGATCATTTAATATTAGAAGTGTTTGGTGTCTTCACTTAGAAGTCTGGTGATATTTTGCAACCAGAAATTAACCTTGGGAATTTAACTCTTATATGTATCAATTAGCTTACAGTAAAGTTGGCTTTATAAAATGTTCATTTCATTTATAATCACAGTTTCCAAGATCTATTGATCTATCTATTGATCAATTAACCTATAGTAAAATTGTTTTTATAAAGAAACTCATTTTGCTAAATCACAACTTCCAAGAACCTATTGACAGTGTTAAGTGAGGATGAACATTTATGTTAACTATGATGTAAGGTTGTTTTTGGGTAACTTTAAAAGTAAAGTTTTAAGAAAATACAAATGTCTGGAGTCAGAATAATTGTATACTTTAATAATCAAATTTAATTTGAAATTCATTTTTTTGAAAACTTGCAAATCTATAGTTTCATTTAAGTGTTTTAATTTTCCCCCAAAATAAGAGAGACTCAGTAAAGGAAAGGAAGGGAAAGGACTGGAGGGGAGGAAAGAAAAAAAAAGAGCTTTTAAAGCACTTAACCTTCTCAAAATATTTAATATCAGGCAAAGTAAGGAAAAATATCTCTAGATGCTTGCAGATTTTGCTGCCAAATTTCTTATACAGATCTTCAAGTTCTCCAGACTCTTACCATCACATTACTTTTTTTTCAACATTACCATCAGTTGAGTCTTATTCTGTGCCTGCAGTAATTTTAGTGCCCTAACAAAGGCAGCAAGTTTTTAAGGAATGCTAACATTATCCTCTTTCTTGCTCAGTCACCTCCCTTCCCATCTACTACTGAGAATTTCTTTTATCTCCTCCAGCCACTTCTTTATATGAATGTGTGTATTTTCTTTTTCTTTTCTTTCTCCTTTTTTTTTTAAATTGAGCTCACATTAGTTTATAACACTGCATGTGATTCAGAGGCATATGATCACACCTTCTCAGACATGTGACCTCACAACACACCCACCACCAAGGCATCCAGTGTCCATTGTGCCCCCTCCACTGTGTTTCTGTCTTCCCCCTTCCTGTCTTGTAGCTCAATTCCACAACACTTCTTTCAGCTGATATTCCTAGCATCTTGCTTTTTTGAAAGCATTTCAAAGGCAGGCCCCCAACATAGGAATGATGGGCCCATTCCTTAGATGACTGAGAATAATCACAAGGCAGAAAAGAGCAATTAAATCAGTTTTGACAAGGGCTTTCAAAATCTTTGTCTACTTCAACCTAGCCAAGGGCTAATACATGTAGCCAGGTTAACTAAATATTTCTGACATATCCTGTTGTCCCTCAGATTGAAATTACATGATAGGTGTGGGTCATAGGATTAATTTGGGAATTGGAGGGGAATTCTTTCATATTTTTCCCCAGTGATTAGTGTTGCCAGGCTAATGTTTCTATATCATCTTTACAGAAAAACGATGGGCAATTCACTGTGATTCAGCTTGTTGGCATGCTGAGAGGCATTGCTGCAGGAATGAAGTACCTCTCCGACATGGGCTACGTGCATAGAGACCTTGCTGCCAGAAACATTTTAATCAACAGTAACCTTGTGTGCAAAGTGTCTGATTTTGGACTTTCCAGGGTATTGGAAGATGATCCTGAGGCAGCTTACACCACAAGGGTAAGATCTATCAGAATGTGTTTCTGAACCACTAGACTACAGGCATTTAGTTTTCAAATACTTTAAAGGAAGTAACAAAAAAGGTATTCGTCCAACATAGGGGGAGAGAGAACGAGTGGAGGGGTAAAAATAAGAAATTCAGCTAAGTCTCTGTGTTAGATGTCAGCAATTCAAATATTAAACCCAGATAAGTAAAGTACTCACATTATGAATCATCATAATTATTTTTACCCTTCAGATACTAAAAATAAAATGTTTGGGTTAGGAAGGTATACAACAATGGAAAATCACGAGTTTTAAGTGTGAGAGAAATATTAAAGATAAAATTTCCTGCACTAAAAGCAGTATACATATTACATATATATAATATATATAAGCTTCTAAAGCATTATTGAGTAGTTTAATCTCTTTGCACTATTACATCTTCAATTGTAAAACAAATAGAGAATAACTTAAAACTATATTTTAATGATTCACATATTAGGGGACAAAAACTGTTCCTTCAAAAAGTTTTTATTTACTGCAGGTATTTTAATGACTAATTACTTTTTTATATGGTGTATACATTATTAAACACATATTTATGGAAAAATTTTCCCTAACTCATATTGTTTTAATTAACAAATCAATATTTTTTTTGCAAAGTAATAATTTTGATTAAGTAAAGCAGTTTATATCAATAACTAATTGCTATGCTATATAGTTGACAATTCTGTGGAAAACTGGATATTGGTATAACAGAATTTTCTGGGCATTCTATATATTTCATTTCTTGATTTTTTTAATACTTCATGATAAATAATATTGAATTACAATTTTTTTCAATGTCATTAAGTTAAATATCCTCAATCTTAAAATCCTTGTAAAGATAATTTTTTTTTATTTTTTTACTCTACAATTTGGTAAACTTTTGGATAGATTCAAATGAAGTTTTTTTTTGTCATCTCTTATCCTTAAGATAGATGTGTTGTACATTATTTAAGTCAACTTAAATAGTGAGATATTTAGGGATTGCACTAAGCTAAAGCATACATAGCCCTTGGATGATCAGCTTAGTAAATAAATAAATTGATGAGCTATCTCTCTTCTTTTAGGCTGAATTATCATTGTCATTATTTATAATAAATGAAGCCTAAATTAAGAATTCTCCTGTCAGACCTCCCTGGTGCCCCAGAGATTAACTCTCAGCACTATCAAGCTATCCTCAGCCGCTGCAGCATGAGTTTGATCCCCGGTCGAGGAGATGACCCACATGGTGCAGCAGACCTCTCCTGCCTCGCTTGCTGCTCCCCTTAGCAGTGTATTTCAGGCAATGTGCCTGTTCTGCTCCCCAATCTATCTCTGGTGAATCCTCTCACCCTTCTGCACCTCTGGCTTACACCCCAGTTCTTCTATGCATAAATAAATACAAATAAATCTTTTTTTTTTTTTAAAGAAAATTCCTGGGACTGAGTTACTTTTAATAAACTTGGCCTAAGCAAAATTGAAGTTCAGAAAAATCCATTCCTAGATTGGTTGGCTGAGATCATAGTTAAATGCATAAAAATGATTTGTCAAGCTCAGTGTCAATGTGTAAATCTGGGAGAATGAGAGGGGGAGGGGAAGCAGCGATCCTGAGAATTACTCCTCTGAAATCAGGTGTGATGAGAATTTGTGGGAAATCTATACACTGATAGATGAGAAGATAAGGGAAATTCAGATAACAATATGGATGGCAAATATGATGGTCAGAGGGCCAGAAGGAAACTACTAGGCTGAAGTTTATAGTAATCAACAAACAGTAATTTTAAGGGTAATAATAATAATATATTGCATTATTCCACAATGACCCATAACTGGGCCTAATAATGTGATATTATCTGTGTATATTTAATTAATAATACAGTTATTATTAACTCAGTTATTAATAACTTAGGAAAGTTTTCTTACTATATTACCATATATTTTAAGCGGCAAATAATTCAAACTTAGTTTGAGTAACAAGCTAACATAGTTTACAAAACAATTGCAAGCATTTAACAAAACTGTTACTTTTCACATGTCTGGAAACTTTGCTGAAAATTAGTTTAAGTTCCATTTTCTTTAGTATGCAAATTAAATCATTCCCTCTTTGTGAAATCGGGAAGACATGTTAATAAATTTACAAGAAACTATTCAAAACCTATACTCCTTTCCCTTTCTCTCCTTAATATAACTTTTATTGGTTGCCTGGGTTTACCCAGTTTTAAAAATAGAGAAAAAACAATTCACCATATGAGGGTCAGAATATTAAAGGGAAATAAAAGAAAGTCATGAAAATATGCTGTTTTACCCATGTTAAAAAGCCCAAACTTGATCATTTTAATTTTCCCCATAATTTCAAAGGAAAGGTCTGATTTTAAATTTGGTTAAATGAAGGGAGATATTTACCTCTTAGGTTAAGCAAAGCAAAACAAAAAACAGTGCAACGAAACACAAAATATGCCAATCGAAAAATAAATCAAGTCTAAAAGAAATTGCATAATGCCAAGGATAAACTTAACTAAGTTCTAATATATCTGATTTTTATTCTTGTTTTATTAACAGTTTAACTTCTCAGTGTTGTATTCAACAACCAAGGCTTTCTGCTTACAATTCCTATATTAGAGAAAAAAAAGCACCCTGGGGATTTGAGTTCCTTACTCTCTGTTAGAAAGTGATGAAAGTATACCTTATTGATTTGCTTGACTGCCTGCTTTCCCCACTTGGAGCTGCCATCCTGATACTGTAATTGAGATGTGGGTCCTGTATGTGTTCCGGTAGTCAAACAGAATTTAAATGAGAAACCTTCCAGATAGCCAATTAGCAGTCAGTCCACAAGTGCTTATGGGCTGGGATATGTGAAAAGACACCGCGAGCTGTCAAACAGATTCATTTGAAAATGCTACATCTCTTTCTAGATCTTTTCAGTGCGGCGGCAATATCCCTAGACGCATTTGAAGTGTGAAGGAAATTTTTTTAAATTCTTTTTCAATTTTAGGGAGGCAAAATTCCAATCAGATGGACTGCCCCAGAAGCTATAGCTTTCCGAAAATTTACCTCTGCCAGTGATGTCTGGAGCTATGGAATCGTGATGTGGGAGGTTGTGTCATATGGAGAGAGACCCTATTGGGAGATGACTAATCAAGATGTAAGTATGGAACTCCTCCCCCTTGAGTTTGAAATGAAAAGCTTTGCTCTTTAGTTCAGGAAACTTAAAATAGTTTTCATTTCTGAAAATGACACTTGCTTTAAAAGAGTGAAATACTTTGTTTATCCTCTAGTCTATTTTGTTGTTGTCAAAATATTCCTTATGCAGAAGCTCAAAATGAGTTAGTACAAAGAAAAGTAAGTTGCTGTTCTAAAGGCTCAGTCCCTTGCCAGACAGTTCCAGCAGTTCACTCATATTGTGTCAGTAACATATTCAAAGATGAAGAAATAACCATCAAGGAATGAATACTGACAAGCAAGTTTTTATCATTTGCATCTGATAAAGTCAGCTAATACTCCAAAGTAAAGGATGCATGTTATTGATTTAATAGTAGATGCCTTTAAAGGATAAAAAGGGATAATCTACATTTGTTTAGATTTAAAATTGCAGGTGTGATAGCATACATCTGAAGAGTTGTGGCCCTATACCCCAAATCATATAAAGTTTTATAAACACACATGTCCTCATAAAAAATACCTTTAAAATAAAATAAAAACAGGGAAATTTTATTATCTATTTAATTTAGGAACATAACAGAGTTTTTCTCACATGGAAAAATAATTCTTGCTTAAAATAATCAAATCCTACAATTAAAAAAACCATGAAAAAAATCTTCTACTCAAGTTCAAAATTCTAACCATAAGATACCTGATATACTCACTGCTGTTAGGTCTTTGCCCTTGTAACTTTGCATTGTTACTACTTAGTATAACCCTTTCCATTTTGGATCACATTGAAATTTTGTATTTTTCCTTCAAACACACATTATGACATCTAAAATTTATTGAACCCAAGAATTATTTACCATTCCTTCCTGATAGCAACAGAATAATGGGCTTATAGATTTTTGCCTCTCAATAAACATGCTACAAAGCACTGAGGTTCCCCTTTTTATAGTCATCTAAAATTGTTATAGTTGATTTTCTTTGAATCTAAATGAGGCTAACAGAAAATGATGTTATTAATGAATGTGCATAATACATGCACACTTTGCATCACACTGCCTATAGTATAATGCCTCTGCAAGTATAGGTCCTCCAAGAAACCTATGCTAAGAGGGAATAAGATATATATTAGAGGGGCTTCCTGGTGGCACAAGGGGTAAAGCCACAGCACTATGAAGCAATCCGCAGCCACTGCAGCATGAGCTCAATCCCTGGCCAGGGAGGTGACCCACATGGCGCAGCAGACCTCTCCTATCTTGCCCACTGCTCCCCTCAGCCGTGTATTTCAGTAGATCTGCCTGTTATGCTCCCCACTCTGTCTCTGGTGAATCTTCTCAGCTCCCATACCTCTGGCCTGCATCCCAGCGCTTGTATGCATAAATAAATAAATCTTTTTTAAAAAGATATTAGGATTTTTTTTTTAAGATTTTTATTTGTTTATACAGAAGCTGAGATACAGGCTAGAGGTGTGGGAGGGTGAGAGGATTCACCAGAGACAGAACAGGGAGAACTGGCAGACAGACCGAAAGCACTGCTGAGGGGAGCAGCGGACGAGGCAGGAGAGGTTTGCACACCATGTGGGAATCTCCCTGGCCAGCCGGGAATCAAACCAGCACTGCAGAGGCTGCAGACAGCTTCACAGCGCTACGTTCAACCCGCTGTACCACCGGGGAGGCCCAGATATATTAGAATTATTAAGTAGAAGGGATGGAAGCTGGAAGGGATCAGATTTTAATACAGGTCTGACTTCAGCTACAGTAGAAATGGAAACTGTGAGGGTGTTCTCAACTCAGTATCATTTGTCATAGGAATCACACAGGAATTACCTGTCACTGCCATGTTCAACAATTGATTGAAAATAATCCATGTAAATCATAGCCATGGCCTTGGTGAAAATGTAATGATGAATTTTAGAGGAGTGAGGGTTAAAGGTTGATGGTCATTTGCCATGCCTACATGTAAAAGATCTGAGATAATTTTCACAGTTGACATGCTCCACTTTGTTGCACAGACCTGCTTCTCCACCCAGATTTAAGTAGAATCTGTTTCATGGTTTCTGGGTTTCTCTTCTGAGAGGAAACTGAGAAGAAAGAGGTTATGGACTGAATTGCAGTATTTGTAACTTCAGTTGATCTCAGGACCTCATCTGGTCTTTAGATTATCCCTTCTCCAATATTTATTCAGAATTCCCCTCATCTATCAACTTGGCAAATCATGGCAAGTTAACTGATGGCCTGAACCAATCCTTCATTCTTGGGAGTTAGCCTTACAAGGCCACAGGAGTAACAAGAGGCTAAAGAAGTTATAAAGCACTCCACATGTTATCTTGGGCAACACATTTCTTCCTGCCCCAACCAGTGAAAGTAAATCAAATACAGCCTGCTGCTTGGGATCAATTGCCTTGCTATCATGGTAACTGCCTTCTCTTGTGCTTGTACTTGGACACGAGTAGTTCAAAGTGCCCTGCTGACAACTTAACTGTTAGTTCTATGGAAAACTTCATGCTCCCCGAAGGAGATGATATATGTCTCTGATTTTATACACACATTGCATCCTGATGAATGACACCTACTTATTTCAGATTCTTGTCTCCAAGTTGGTGCTTCAACTGTGATTTTATTGAGGCTACCAGAGGGATAAGATCGAAGATAGGGAGCAAAGGAAAGAGGGGCCACAATGGATTGTGGTGGCGGAATAGGGATGCCTTGGTGGGTGATGTGCAGTAACATACATCTGAAGAGGTGTGAATCTATGCCTCTCAATCCTATACAGTGTTGTAAATCAACATTACCTCAATTAAAAAATATATAGATATTTTTTAAAAAATATTAAATTCCTGAAGTTATCTGCTTCAGAATGATAAACTACATATAATGGTTGTTTGAATGTATACAGAAATCAGCAAATTTTCCTAACATTTCTACCCAAATGAGACCATGTTGGTAACGTGTAATTGCCATGGATGGAGTATTTATACCACATGAGAAAATGTCACAAATTTATTTCTTTCACATGGGGCATTAAATAATTACCAGCCCAGGGACCTCCCCGGTGGTGCAGGCGGTTGAGCGCCGTGCTGTGAAGCTGTCCACAGCCTCTGCAATGTGGGTTCCATCCCGGCTGGCCAGCGAGAATCTCACATGGCGAAGCAGATGGCTCCTGTCTCTCCTGCTGCTCCCCTCAGCAGTGTACTTCGTCAATCTGCCTGTTCTGTTCCCTACTCTGTCTCTGGTGAATCCTCTCACCCTCCCACACATCTGGCCTGTACCCTAGTTCTTGTATAAATAAATAAATAAACCTTTAAAAAATATTAAATAAATAAATAAATAATTGCCAGCCATCACTGAGTGTGTGACACTTTCATATCCTACTCCGGTTGGGAGATATGCATTGTGTGAGTCCATGTTTGTGGATCAAGCATTTCAAACTTATGATGATGACTGAGGCTCTGTGTGCAGCAAAAGTAAAACATATCCAGAATAGGCATATACACCTGAAAGGATCAACCCACTGACACATGATGGAAAGGGCCCAACACTCAATTTGCCACCAAATGAGTAGTGCCACATCAAATGTTCAGAGTTGGGATTCTACATATTGGAAGAAAAGGTAACATTCTTTAAATTGTATTCATACTGTTGATTTACATGTTAATGCCAGAAAATGCATGCCTTCAATAATTCAGATGTGGCACATCTGAGCTGTCACCAGATTGTCAAGAAAATGATTTGTCTTCTCCTATTTTTGTTTATCTCGATCACCTGTACTAACAAATATATTAGCAATAACAAATTCAATTAACATAATGATTAATTTGGTTGTACATTATAAATTGCACGGTAAAATGAACGGCTTATATTGCACTTTGTAAATTCCCTACAATTTACAGACCAACAGAATACTAGTGCTATTCATTTCTCCCCAAAACTATGAGAGAAGAAATAGCTAAAAAACTTTTCAAAAATCATTTCATAATGTCTAAATATAAAATCTAAAATTATGGCTTAAAGATAAATTCTGAAGGTAAATTAAAATTAAATTCAGAGGCCTCCCTGGTGGCACAAGAGGTTAAGACGCAACCTGTGAAGGCAGATCGCAGCCGCTGCAGCACAGATTTGATCCCAGGCCAGGGATGGTGCAGCAGACCTCTCCTGACTCACCCGCTGCTTCCCTCCGCAATGTATTTTAGTCACTCTGCCTGTCTGCTCCCCACTCTGTCTCTGGTGGATCCTCTCACTCCCCACGCCTCTGGCCTGTACCCCAGTTCTTGTGTGCATAAATAAATAAATTAAAAAAAAATTCAATTCAATTATATTCAATTCAATTATCTAGATACCTGGATTAAATTCTAAGTTAGGGTATTATATTTCCTTATATAAATTTACCTGAAAATGAAGTAATTAAGTAATATCTGGAAATAACTTCTCAGAGCAAGTAATTTAAGTCCCTTTAACGAATGAATTGGTTTATTAATTTAAGAGTCACATATAAATATAAAGACTAGATGCTCAGTTGAGTAAAGACAGTCTTTTTAAAAAATTAGATGCTAAAGAAAAAAATAGAATTAATTTGGAGGTAAATACATTATGAAATAGATCATGCTTTAAGTAAATAGGAATCACAGCTTTCACTCCACAGCAAAATATTTTGTGATTTAAACTACATAAGGACATTTCTTTTTGGTGTAATTATGTTGTAACAGAAACACTGTCAGCATTATGGACTCTTATGAATCAAATTAATACATAAATGAACTTTTATTAGTCTATAAGTGTAAATGGTGCTTTTTATTTTTTTATGATTCATTTATAAATACTTTCTCAAAATTTCTTTAACTTCTTTTTGTTTGCAAATTTTAATATAATATCTATTTCTCATTTATCTGTTACCCTATTATTTCTCAATATGTATAAGTTCTTACATGTTAGATATGTTGACCATATGTCTTTATCGCATTTTATACCATAGTTTAACTTTTAATTTTTTATATTATTTTTGAGTTAGCCAAGATGATAGATGACTCAGGTATTGTGCTCATAATTATCCAATTATCTCTGACCATATATGTTTTTAGAGTTTTTGAGTACTTTTTCTTTCTCTATCTGTACTTGATTATTGGTGCTTCTCAGAAACCTTTGTTTTATGTCTTTCCTGGGAGTTATAAACTATGTCCAACTCCAAGTTGTGACCAAATGCTGATGACTTTTATAGGATATTATCATACACTACTGTATATGTATGTGATAGTTCCTGTGCCCTACCCATTTCCTGTAATTTGCCATCTGGGTGTTTCCCACTTACCTCAAATATATTAGGCACCAAATTATCCCTAGCAACATTTTCAACCCCCTTAAATATCTTTACCTAAAGCCCTCTAGTGTGATTGACTCAAACTTTTATCTCACTTTATCTCCTTTTACCTTTACTACTGTGTCATAACTCCTGTGTTAAAGTTTCCATTGCTTCTTTCCACCTGCCACTGATTTATTTAAAAATCCTTTTTTGCCAATCTTCAAAGTTATCTTTGTAAATCCCTAATTATTACTATATATTTTTATTCATCAAATGAAAATGAATGATTTAGTGAACAAAAATAAATTTTGATTATTTAGGAAATGTTATTATGTTCAGCAATATAAAAGAATCTCAATGATCTAGACATTTTGATAGCAGCAACATCAAGAATTTTTTGATAAAACATTCTCACAAATAGATTGATACTCATAATGTGAGGTTACATTTAAAATCATGATGTCTGGGGCCTCCCCTGGTGGAGCAGTGGTTGAATGCTGTGTTGAGAAGCTGCCCGCAGCCTCTGCAGCGCGGGTTCGCTCCCCGGCCCACATGGCAAGGGTCCCACATGGCGCTCGCAGACCTCTCCTGCCGCCTGCTGCTCCCCTTAGCAGTGTACTTCAGTCCTTCTGTCTGTTTTGCTCCCTGCTCTGGCTCTGGTGAATTCTCTCACCCTCCTGCGCTTCTGACTGTACCCAGTGCTTGTATAAATAAATAAATAAATCTTAAAAAAAAAAAATCATGATGTTTGTAATGCTTGTGTTACTAAACAGTCATTCCAAATTCTTGACAGAATTCAGTAGATGATAATAAACAGCCAGACCTTGACATTATTAAATGATACATGAGACAGTTATGCTAATTTAGCCTTTGACTTATCCATCATTTACCATCCGAAAGTCTCTTTTAAGTAAAATTATAGTTCTATTACCTTAAAAAAAAGTGGTTCTGCACATAATTTTTCATTAAAAAGGCATTAACTTTTCAGAGAAATTACTAGAAAATTTTATCTCTATTTGATTCCAGAACACAGGATAAATAAAACATGAACTGTTTATTTTTATGTCAGTTAATTTTACAAATCACTCTTCATCAAGATCTTAGGTAAAAATGATTACCATTTATTTTCTTTATAATATGTGAAGAAATCCTGCCTTTGTATATTTTGATAGAATATTTATTTCTTTAGTTTTTATTTATGGAAGTAATCAGAGATTTTAGAGGTAGTGATGCTGGTTGTTGTTGCAAGAATAAGAATAAAATGGATGAAAATTGGAGAGTAGGAAATCTCTCTAGCTATTCTGTACTAAACTTACAGTGTTGAGGACTGGTTCTATTTTGCTTTACACAGGTGATTAAAGCAGTAGAGGAGGGCTACCGACTGCCAAGCCCCATGGACTGTCCTGCTGCTCTCTACCAATTAATGCTGGATTGCTGGCAGAAAGACCGGAATAGCAGGCCCAAGTTTGATGAAATCGTCAACATGTTGGACAAGCTGATACGTAACCCAAGCAGCTTGAAGACACTGGTTAATGCATCAAGCAGGTATAATACCTTACCTAAGAGATTTTTATGAATGCAGCTAATTCAGAATGATGCCACAAATGCTATATTAACATTAATTATTTTTTGTATACATGTTAATCTATGAACCTAGTTTATTTGAATACAGTTTTTACATATTGATCTTTTACAATGAATCATATATAAATTATTCAATTATACTTTGATATATTTACCTGATCTAACAATTTAACATGCCAGCTTCAGAAAAATGTTAACTATAGCCACGTATTGGCAGCATTAAAAAATTCTTAAATCTGTGTCTTTTCATGTGCTAAAGGAGGAAGCATATTAGAAAATCATAAGGAAAAGCCAATTAAACACGGGTGTATTTTAAACTAGAGATATTTAGCAATAATTATGTTTTAATTTATTCAGAATGGATTTTAGTATCCGTCATATTTTATGAACATTGACAATTCCTTTAGAGAGTTGTACACAGATTTGACTAATCATTTATTTTGCAATTGAGTAAGACTTAAAATTGATAAATGAATTACCTTCTGAAAAAAATCTTACATGAGCTAATAAGCTTTTTTTTTCCTAAATGTGTGTGAATACTTTAAATAATAGTGCATGTTTGTTAGTGTGCTCTTCTCTTTAACCTTAGAAATTACAAAATTGTCCTCTAAAAAATGTATCAGTTGGATTCTGTAATAGAAATATACCTGATTTATTATTTTTTTTTACTATATTTGAGGACTTTTCTGATTTTACAAGAAAAAAAATGTCATGCTGGAAAATAAATTGGCTATTAGCATGGACTCAATGAGAAACAATATGTTGATAAAGTTACATAAGTTCTATGATTCTGAGATGACATTTGTTTGTAAGACAAAAAGTCATTTTTAAATACAAATGAGTAGTGAATCTTCAAACTCTGTTCAGGCATCATTAACTTCCTGTGGTAGCAACTGGAGAATTGCCTTTTCTTAGAAAGAATTCCTTATGTTATTCCTGAGATCTCTGCTTTCAAATTGTTTATTATCATGCAAAATAGCATTTCTCTCATCTATTTGGTTGAATTATGTTAAGTTGTCATAAATGAACCTAAGGAAACAAAATCATAAAAATACATTGTATGATCTAAATTGTATTAATTTATATCAGCCATATCATTATAACTTGAGAGCAGTTTTAAAATCTCCAAATTATTTTCATATTTTCCTTGCATGCAATATATAGAATTCTGCTTCTAGGTTTTATATAAAAGATTTGACTGAAGACTATATCACTCGATACCCCATCTTTAGTAGTCATCTACAGCTCCTGATTTTAGAAGGCATTAGTTCCTGATTCATTGTCTCTTTCTACCTACCCATTGTCTCCCTACCCATATCATCGAACTCAGTGATTTCAGTGAACATGTGGGTATTTGAATGTCTCTCAATATTTTGAATTTTTTTTTCTTCAACCATTTTGTTCTCTAACCTGCCTTATACTCCCCTTCCCATAATCATATTCTAGACTCTGTTCTTACCAAAAATGTTGATACACAATATAATCTAACATAATCTCAACTTCAAGATCTTATTTACTAAATGTTGCCTCCTAAATTTGTATCTTCAACAAATGCTTGACTCCATTGTTTAATGGTTACAAATCACTGCAAGGTATCTGTTTATCACCTCCAATGAGTATTCATGGCTATACTCTGTGTCATGCTTCCAGCTAGTTACTGAAGATACAGCATTGAGGAAAAATATGACCAAGAGTGAAAAATATTGGACATAATTAAACATTTTAAAAATTGTTTTAGAAGTAAGAAGTGAGAGCAGAATTTAGGAGGATAATATGGAGGCTAGAATAATTTGCAGGTAAAAACTGATGATGTCTTGAACTAAGGTGATGACAAATAAGATACAGAGAAGTGGTGAGATGTGAAAAAATATGAATAGTCTGCACAGTGACCCATTGTGAGGGGACTGAGGACAGAAAGGGCAACTATGGTACATATTACGTATTACAATGGGGAGCAAGCACTCCAGGAGCAATTGGTTATGGAGTTGATAGAGATGTTGGAGTCATAGTCTTATGAAAATATGGAGGCATGGCATAAACATGAATATATCAGTCTCACGTCAGAGGTTAAAAATTGAGAAGAAATAGATGCTATTTGAAGTGTGAAATGAGGTAAAATTGCATAGAGTGGAGTTATATAGCCTGTGTAAAGAAGACATAGGTCTATGTCTTAGCTCCCTCCAAATTTTAAAGTCAGGAAAAGAGGTAACAGGGAAATTCAGGAAAAGTCAGGAATAAAAAAACACTGAGATAAAATAGAATTTCAACATGGTACGGGTGGTATTGAATGTTTCTAAGGGGTCAGTCATCTTACTGATTGAAAATTATTCACAGGTTTTTGCAAAATAAATGACATTGCAGGCCTCCCCGGTGGTGCAGCGGTAGAGCACTGGGTTGTGAGGCTGCCCACAGGTTCTGCAGCGCCGGTTCAATCCCCGGCCACTGGGTGAAGGTCCCACACGGCGTGCAAACCTCTCCTGCCGCCCGCTGCTCCCCTCAGCAGTGTACTTTGTCAGTCTGCCTGCTCTGTTCTCTGCTCTGACTCTGGTGAATTCTCTCACCTTCCCATGCTTCTGACTGTACCCAGTGCTTGTATAAATAAATAAATAAAATCTTTAAAAAAATAAATAATGACATTGCTCACCTCACCCAGAGCAATTTTTATGGAATTAGTTTGTAACAGACTACACTGTAGTAAATTGAAGTGTAAATGAATGTGAGAAAGTGCAAAGACCATGAATAGAAAGAAAGCTCTCTCTCCTATATCTTATGCTTGAAATTTATTTAAGTAAACTCCCATTGATGGACATTTAAATTGTTTTTGATGTTTGCTCTCATTAGTGAAAAGGTATGCATGTATATTTAGCTATTTTAGCTGATTAATTCCTAAGATACATTTCCAGAAATGATATAATTATTATCATATCATTACTATTAGCCAAAGAGTATGAAGTTAAGAGCATGGTTTGATTGATTGTTTACTTATGTATTTGGGGTTCCATTATATTTTCAAGTTCTGCTAGCTAAGTGAATTAACAAACATCCTTATGTAACAGCATAAAATAAAGAATAAATAATTTACGATCTTTCTGGGAAATTAGCTTAAATGAGCATGACTTTCTCTGGAGAGTCCAGAAGCAATTGGTTTTACATAAATTATCCCATTTATAAATACTTGGTAACATTTTTGTGTTTTCGTGTTTTTTTTTTAAAGATTTTATTTATTTATACAAGGACTGGGGTACAGGTCAGAGGCACAGGAGGGTGAGAGAATTCACCAGAGAGAGAGTGGGAAGCAGACAGCAGACAGCATCACAGCACAGCGCTCAATCCGCTGCACCACGAGGGAGGCCGTTTTTTTTTGTGTTGCTTTTATAAACAAAACAATAATAGGCAAATACATGTCAATCATGACATGGATTTTTAAGCTAATGGTTTATATTACAGAAAGTTTACTTATTAATCCATTATAATCCCTTACTAATTATTAATAGAGAAACAATCTGATTAGATTATTGTGTATTTTGAATTATTTTTTTAAGATTTATTTATTTATTTATTTATTTATTCGTTTATTTATTCATTTATTTATTTGTTTATTTATACAAGAACCGGGGTACAGGCCAGATGCGCAGGAGGGTGAGAGGATTCACCAAAGACAGAGCTGGGAACAGAACAGGCAGCTTGACTAAATACACTGCTGAGGGGAGAAGTGGACGAGACCAGAGAAGTCTGCTGCGCCATGTGGGACCCTCAATGGCTGGCCGGGATCGAACCGGTGCTACAGAGGCTGTGGACAGCTTCACAGTCCTGCGCTCAACCAGCTTTGCCACCAGGGGAGGCCCTGAATTATTTTTTCCATGTGAACATTTGTTTAGTTTTCCTTATAAATGTATCCATATCCATATACAAAGTCTATTGACTATGAACTGGTATTACAGAGTTTGTTATAAAATAGTTAAAAATGTTACTTTTAATATTTTTTGTTTTATATGTTTTAGAGTATCTAACTTATTGGCAGAACATGGCCCACTGGGATCTGGGGCATACAGATCAGTTGGTGAATGGCTAGAAGCAATCAAAATGGGTCGATATACAGAGATTTTCATGGAAAATGGATACAGTTCAATGGACGCTGTGGCTCAGGTGACCTTGGAGTGAGTAATTTTTCTGATAATTTTTACATAATTGCTGGGGTGAGGAAAATTGTTCAGAAACCAATCTGGATGAGGTCAAGGGAAATCAGTTAATCTTTGTCTATGTGTGGCAGCTTTCAAAGAAGCCTCTTCTTTTATAGCCTGTATTGTTAACAACTGCATGGTTAATGCTACTTGTGACCAGTATCTTTGCTTCTTTGCTTCAAATAAATAGCATTTGAATATTTAAATAACTGGAATAACAACTCCTTGGCAAAATATTGGTATTTTGTGTCGTGGAAAAGATGTTTTCTTGACAAAGTTTTTATACTGGTACCTATGTTATTTGAATGTAAATACAAAACAAGCTGTAAGCACAATTGGTGTGGCTAGTCCTACATAATGACAAAACATTTTTCTTAAATTTTGGCTATGATGATTATCCAGGTAACAATCATTTAAACAAAGCTTCCCAGGCAGGAATCTCATTTAATCTCTAAGTGGTGCACCTTATATTCTTGTGATCCAAGGATATATCAGATCCTGCCTCTGATTTATTTGGTATAATCTCAGTGGAACCAATTGTGCCCTTTTCTGTTTGCACGTTTAAGATAAAATTTATTAAACCTTATTAAATAAAGATCACTAGAGTTAAATATTAAATTCTTTAAGGTTGTAAGTTGTTTGTATTTTATTATATACTCTGTATGTGTAATTATTTTAGCCTAATATTTGTTATTTGTGAAAATTAACTGTCGTTATGGTGGTTCCATCTAGATTACATTAACATTAATAATGTTTTAACCTGTGAATATAATGCTAACTTATTCTAAATTACCTTACAAATTCAAAGGTTAAAATATTGTTGTAAGGATTAGAACATGGTAGATCCTTCTAAGATACTAATCCACAGTGCTTTTTCTATCACTCCATGTAGTGTGAGCATTGAGCATTTCTCTCTCACCATTTCTATTATTCTGGCATTCTTTGACTCATTGATTCACTCCACATCCACACAAAAGGTAACAGGGTACCATCATTTGTCACCAGTTAATATCATATTCTCAGGATTTCTCTTATTTCATGTCTATAGCTAAAAAGACCTAAAATCACCAATTAAATTAAAATTGCTCTCTTAATTTACTGAATCTCATTTTTTACTATCACTCCAAATCATATCTACTTAATGATATATATGCATTGCCCATTATTTCTTTGGACACTCAGAGAACTCACTTATGCTATATTTAAAATAGTAAACAGACAATTTTACTGATAATTTAAAACTATTTTTACATGATTGCTATTTAATTTTTCAGTAAAAATGGTCATTTTAATTTATTAAAGTCATTTGTCATTTTATATTAAAATGATACTGTAGGTATTTCTTCTACCCAATGTCAGATTTCTTGTAAATATATAATAAAACTATTTGCATTAAACAACGTCTCTTTTTTTATTAAAATAACACATATATATTTACATTTACATCCCCTATGCTTTTGTTTCTCTCTTCACAGCATAGTTATAATCACAATTTTTTTAAACATGAACTATATTTTACTTTATTTCTTTGGACTTCAAAATACTATAAATATGTTGACTATTTTAGCAACATGGTTTTACTTTTTCTTTTTCTTTTTAATTTTTTTCTCTTTACTTTCCTGTGTCCCTCTATCCCCAAACTCTTTTTATTTTCTATCTTTTCCTTTAAACCTTAGTAGCTTTTTCTATCTTTTTAAGAAGATTCTCCATCTTATTTCTATTCTCCTATAATTTTTTTCTTTAATTGGTTCAATTTCTTCTCTGTATATATTATTTTAGTAATTTGTGGCCTACTGCTTCCTTTCAAATATTGTGGGTTTTTTTTTTAAATTAATTTACTCTGATCAGCAGAGTAAAATGAAATTAGGAGATTTACTGATACCTTTCTGTTCAGATAATGTTGGTTTCCATGTCAATTGCTTCAGATTCTTGGGGTCCATAATAATACATTCCTTATTAGGAACTGGGCCTGCAAACCTTTTACTCTGGTGAAAATAATTCTTGGAAAGTCTAGTACTTTTTAAAATACATATCCTCTTGTCTACGGCATCTCTCCTATTTGGTAACAATATATTTATCAAAATAGCATGTTAAATAATTCACAGGATAGGAAATAGTGATTTACTTGTTTGGTCAGGAATATAAGAAAAAATTATCTGCATATTTTGCTTGCACTTCTCCAAAAAAGTCAATCATTTATTTGTGCAAATAAACCTGGGGTAGCAGTAAAAGCAAACCAAGGTCTTAAAACATGCTGATAATGATTTTTTTTAACACATGGTCTTAACCAATATCTAAATAATAATTTTGTGGTGGCAGTGTTGTATTTAATAAAATATTAAATATTACCATCAATGTTATTGCCAGGGCATAATAAAAACTACAAGGTGAAGAATACCTTAATACCTGCAGTAAATGCTTAGAAAAAAGCTAAAATCAATAATGCAAAAGATCAAACTATCACATATTTAAAGTAGAAAAGATATGTGTAATTTGTGCCATCAAATGTGTTTTGATAGTGGTTTTAGAAAAAGAAGAGCAAAAAATAAAATTTTTTAGAACCACAGTCTTCGGTAAAAATTCCTTCGTAAAGATTTCATTTTATTTCTTTATGAATTTTTTGTCGCACATGAGTACATGGCTTAATGTGGAAAGGAAATGAAACATTATGAGTTCTTAGAGTCAAAGTGTATTCAGTGAAACTGACTTTCAATCTTAGACATTTCTGTCTGCTTTTCTCTGTACTTAAACCTTGCTGTTCTGTATAGAATATTCATATTAGAACAATTGTTGTGGCAGTAATAATACAATCTGTGCTATAGTGCATAAGTACAGTGAGTTATTGTCAACAGGGGGAATTGTGAGCTTCAGGTGAGTTGTAAATTGAATCCAAAGTTTTGAATTAAGGAGAGACTCACAGCTGCTTTTTAAGCTGTTTGCAGACCAGCGCTGCCAACTTTTGATTATTCAGAAAATGAGAAAATCCAATGAATTTAATATTATACCTATTTGTGTAAGCTGGAGAGATTCCTGTTAATATGATTTATTTAAATGTGGCCCTAAAGTACAAAATGAAAGTTTTTTAAGGCCAGAGCCAAAATTTGTGCACACTAATTCAAATAGATTTCTTGTTAATAGTCATTATGCATAATTTATTATGTACTTGAAGTGCACATTGTACTTTCTATTCTCTGTGTTCAACATAATTTAGCTGAAATTTCTAGTTTAAACCCTCACAGTGTCTCATCTATTAAAAATCATGACCAGACCATGTTAAATTCTCACTTGTCAAATGTAAATATCTTGTACTATATATATAGAAATGATTATCAGGATTCTTTTAAGTGTACCAAAAATTTCCAAACATACATCTGCATGAGAAGACTATATAAAAGAATAAATATTGAAATTTAGTGAATATTTACTAATCTCTCTCCTCCCTTCTCCTACCGAGCCAATGTTAGTGGGTTAAATACCAGTGTTATAAGACAACGATATGTAAAGCAGAAGGGAGAAGAATGAATAAGGGAAAGCCTTACCCACAAGTGGATTAATTAAATCCGAAATAATCAAGAGTTGGCTCTAACATCAACCAGACACCTCTTGTTATTCTCCATTTTTTCATTCTGCCATTTTAGCCTCATAATACCAATGTTTTCCATTTGATGGAAATATTTTTTTAAATGCTGGAATGTAACCACAACAATGGCAACTCATTATATTTGCACCTTTTCTAAAACTAAACATCTTTGTTGACAAAGTTCAAGCTACTTTTTATGTAACAGTACTATTTTCGTCATGTTTAGATTCATATGCCTGTGCAGAAATATAGTTTATCACCATTGAAATTGGCCTTGGGTATTACTTAAGATTACACGTTGTCATGATAAAATTAACATGATGTATATATGAAAGGGACACACTTCAACATTTGCCTAGCTATAAAATTTCCTATATAGAAAAATGAAATGAGCAAAATAGCATCTTTTCCTACTATTTTTTTCAAAAATCATTGCAAATAGAGCAGAACCTTCATCATTAAATGTAAAATATTTGTTTTTATGAAGCTTTTCACACATTATTGTTTCTAAATTAACCATTTAATATGCCAGCTTGTACTGTGGGCAAAGGATTAATGTGGAGATTGTTGGACGTCACTGAAGTGTGAGAATAAAATTAGTTAAAAGAACATACATTGAAGCATTTGTCAATATTAAAGTTATTAAACCTTGGGCCTCCCCTGGTGGCGCAGCGGTTAAGCGCTGGGCTGCGAAGCTGCCCGCAGCCTCCGCCACACTGGTTCGATCCCCAACCACTGGCAAGGGTCCCACATGGCACTACAGACCTCTCCTGACGTGCCTGCTGCTCCCCTGAACAGTGTACTTTGTCAGTTTGCTGTTCTGTTCCCTGCTCTGGCTCTGGTGAATTCTCTCACCCTCCCGCACTTTTGACTGTACCCAGTGCTTGTATAAATAAATAAATCTTAAAAAAAAAAAAGAAAAAAAATAGTTATTAAACCTTTACTAGAAATATTTTTGTTACCATTTAAATTATCTTTTGTAGTATCAAGAGAGAAATATTAAACAGAATTTTTAAAGAAATCTCTTTGGTGGAGAACAATTTTGATTTGCATAAGTGATCTTATTTTTTCCCCACTTTTTCAATGAAAAATCACACTGTAAAAGGCATATGTATATTGTATTGCATTATCATCTTGATGTTTTCTGAAGCTCTGCACATTAACTTGATAGGTTTTGAATTGACGGATCAGATTTTTTTTAAGGTTAATTTATTTATGCATACAAGAACGGGGGTACAGGCCAGAGGTGCAGGGGGTGAGAGGATTCACCAGAGACAGAGTGGGGAGCAGAACAGATAGATTGACTGAAATACACTGCTGAGGGGAGCAGCAGGCAAGCCAGGAATGGTCTGCTGCGCCATGTGGGTAGCTCCCTGGCCGGCCAGGGATCGAACTCATGCTGCAGAGCCTGCAGAAAGCTTCACAGTACTGTGCTTACCCCTTGTGCCACCAGGGAGGCCCATGGTCAGATTTTTTTAAAAAGCATTTCACTAAAGATACATAATATATGACAGTATGTAAAATGTAATGTTGTTCTTCTTTAACTCCATTTCCCCCATGGAGAGATGGGGTAGGGGTAGAAGGAAAGGGAATAGGGAGAGGGAGAGGAAGAAAACGGGAGCAAAGAGAGATAGGGGATTTCACTGGTCTGACCTTCTGTATGCATCATAGGGGATAATCAGATCACAAATTGACTTTGAAATTAAAATCATGCTTAGTTCACTGGGAAAATTTGAATAAATAGAACTTAAAATCTGTACATATGAACTGTTCTGAGGAATGAGAGATACTGTTTGCCTGAAACACAAAATTATAATTGCATTTATCAGTCAAGTACAGCTCCTTAAGATTTTCATTCTTAGGTATAATATAGATGTAAGAAAAATTATATTCCCAATGCACTGAGCTAGAGTCTTTCATATGGTAAAGTTATTTCAAAGAATTAAGTCATAGTTGAATTTAATATAACAACAAGTTAAGACAATGAAAATAAAAATGGCACACTAGTGATTTCGTAATATCAGACAAAACAAGAGTTGGAATATGAAAACACACACACTGCAAATTAAGGTTTTGGTATTATATATGCAAAGTCCATGCTTTTTTAGTGAGGAAACCTATAAAATCTTTCCTTTTAGGTCATAAATGTAAACTACAGTAACCATTTTCAAAAGTTGGTCTCTATAATTGGATTAGCCATACAAAATTTGCAATTTAGTGACACGTATATCAATGCTTTTGAACTTTGAACTTCCGAATCACTTGTGGGCTTTTAAATCATATGATAAAACGTGTTTTTAAACTCCAATTACTAATTTAATTCTCTTGTTGAGATTTTTTACAAGAAATTTAATCCCCCCCCCCAAAAAATTAGCCATGTTTGTCCCACATTTACATAAGGCCAAAGTTTGCTAATGAGCTCCCATGAATACCCAAACCTGCACAGTTCTTCATGATTCACAAATTACATTTGGAAACATGAGAATTTTAATTAGCTCACAACTGAAACTGCCATAAAGTATACAGTAGGTTACCATAGTTACAAAAAGTATGTGTTTCATTCCCTTCATTAAATATCTTCTCTTTTCTAGAATTTTGGATATTTGATATTATATCTATAGAGCTCTCATTTTACAGATGAATAAATAATCACATATAATTTTATATACTTTGCTCAAAATAGTATCTCAGATTAATGAGAAATTAAAAGTTTCAACTTTGATATTAGGTTCCTGGTTTTAGTCCTGGCTCTTCTGCCTACTCACTGTGTCATTTATCCTAATGATTTCAACTCTTTAAGACCTTTTTCCTTATCTATAAAAAAAGATTAACAAAAATCGTATCATAGTGTTTTCTATTTTTCAAGCTTATAAAAGAGGATATCTTCATTGTCACCTATTATTTACATATTTACTGCAATGTGTTTTCAATCAGGGGAAATTATGCCAGGGGACATTCAGCAATGTCTGGGACATTTTGTCTTGTCACAGCAGAGACAGGATGGTGCAGCCCCTTTAGTATTTACTAAGCAGAGGTCAGGTGTGCTGCTAGATATACTACAATGCTTGAGCCAGCCCTACGCAACAGATTATCCAGCTATACTGTTAACATGGACAAGGCTGACCAATTCTGACTTAGTAGAAGAGACAAGATTATAGTTCAGGTTTTCACCTTAGTCTGTAACTAGCTATTTTATAGTTTATCATAATTAGTAATAGTGATTTTATATCAAAGTGAATTTTCACTGGCTTTTAGTTTTGTTGATTATCTTCCATGCCTACCATTATTAATATTTTTATATTGTATTCTGGAGTCCTATAGCCATAATTTCTGAATTTAATGTTTAATATTTACTTTCTGAGAATTCTTAGTATCAATTGCTTCATTTTTATTACTTGCCATTTGCTAAAATTTTCATCAGAAATCAAGAAAACATAAAGGGAAAAGAAATCTACAGTGTTATTTAATAAAATTACTTAAATAAATAATTATTTCAGTTATTAATATACATAGTATGTACCCATTTATTAATTTTGTCCTCTGATAATTGATTACTTTGAGTTTCAAAAACTATTCAATTATATATATAATGATTCTAATGTTCCTGTATCCAATTCTGTAGAATTTTAAGATAATATGAAATTATTGCATTTATTAAATGTAAAACATTGTTATGTGCAGCATAATATGTTCAATAAAATAATTAACTAAAATAGTTCGCTAACAGGATCTAACTTGACAGTTTTGCCATGTAGTATTTTGAAATTTTAATGCTCATTTTTTCCCTCTAATTAATGTTTATCATTCGCCAAAGATACCTGGATCATTATTTTGCCAGCTATATATTTTAGGGGAATAGAATTCTTGAATACCTGTGAAATTACATTTAGAAACCATAGGCACTAGTCCTGATCATCATAATATGCACTAAGTTTAGAAACCTAAATATTTGCAATTTCCTTTCAAATAATAAGCCTATTTAAAAGAACCAATGTGAAAATATTTTGGTTGAAAAGACTTTTTGATAGCGTGTAATCTTTAGAATGCTCTAATGCCAATAGAGACTGTATTTTATTTGGTAAAGGAAGAAAGCTCTGGTACTTTGGGTTCCAAGTGGAAAATAAATATTTAGAGCACTATAGTGATGATTAACTCCTAGATTTATGTTATATAAAATGATTATACTGACAGTCATTTGAAGAATTTGATCTACAACTGCTTAGCTGTAAAATTGTATTTCTTATGCTTACTTCTTTTAACAAAAAAAAATTGTGCTTGTGCATATTGTAGGTCCACATTTTTAAAACTGTTCAATAAAATTGTACTCTTTAAATTAAATATATTCTAGTAAGAATTTGCAAAATTTCTTCAACAATCTGTGCCACTAAATTAATGATGTGTTAAGAAGTCGTTATTAGATATGCCTCTTTATGTAATATCACTCCTCTTTATCAACATTCCTTTGACTGAAAGCACATTTTCATGGTACAATTTTGGAACATGATTTTGAAAATTGGACCCTGTATGTCTAAATTGGGACTGTGACATAATTAGTTCCTGCACAATGTTTTCCTTTATACAGCGTGAAATATTGAGGTGTGCTACCCATTGAATCAATACATACATCCAATGTGTGCTTTCTTCATGCAGGGATTTAAGACGGCTTGGAGTGACTCTTGTCGGTCACCAGAAGAAGATCATGAACAGCCTTCAAGAAATGAAGGTGCAGCTGGTAAATGGGATGGTGCCATTGTAACTTCATTTTAATGTCACTTCGTCAAGTGAATGAATCTGCACTTTGTAACTAGCCCTGAGATTTTTTTTAACAAATAAGGGGGAAAAGGGAAAACTCAGTGATTTCTAATCTTTAGACGAGATTTGATTCAACCACAGAATTTGTAATCAGTGTTTTACTAAAATCTCTTATCTTTCTCTCAGTGTCTTCATTTTTCAGGAAGCAAATATAAACTGCATGGAATAAGAACATGAGGTTAACTATTACCTTATGTTACAAGAATAAAATCCTTCCTACCACTTCCACAAAATTTTATACATGAAGAATATAATTACGTATAGCACCTTTATAGACTGAATTAAGGCAGCCCCTTTCAATACTTCTAAGAATCTACTTGAAAGGAAAAGTTTTATAGCCATTTGTGGGCTAATCTAAGCTGCAATTTGCTGAAGTTTACTTCAAGTCTTATTTGTCTACATAAGTGTATTGAAGAGCAATATCATTAGATAATTTCTTACTAGATATCTTCCTTTGTAATTTTTAAATGCTGTTACACAGCATTAACTTATAGAAACTAGCGTATAAACATGTTGCTTGATAAGAACAAGTACAATACAGGGTGTATATTTATTTTTCTGTGTTATAAAATTTACTTTTACTTGCTCTTCTAGAAACTGTTAAGTAATAAGTGTGTACATACTGTATAATTTGCTGCATACTCCAGGAATCAATTTAATTTAGAGTTGTGTGTGTGTGTTGGCACATGTGTGCAATACCACCCTGCTTGCATTTTTAGTAACATTTTAATTATATCAACATACAGGAACAAATGTTCCAGAGTATAATATGAATAAGAGAAAAAGGAAGCAGTAAAACAAAATTGAGCAGAAGTTTGTGTATTTTTTCCTCTCATGTGTCCAAAAGCTACTAAATCTCTTTATTCACTAACAAGAAATGTCTATAAGATTAAATCCCCTTTGGCTTTTTAAAAACACATTGTGATATGGGTGACAATGCATTACCTCTAGCCATTAATCTTGAACCCCTGTAAGAAATTTCACCTTTCTGATTCCCAGAAAATATCCTGTCAAGGAAAGTTGACACCGAAGGGCACATTTTCAGCAGGATGTAGAAGGATTTAACTGTGCAGGCTTCTGTTAATGTCGTTAAATCCAAGTACATAGCACTAAGCATTACTCTTAAGTTTTAATCCTGTGTAACCATTTCCCCTGTGGCTCAGCTCTAGAAATTTTGATATTACAGCAGCAATGGAATGATGACATATATATATATTTTTTTCTCTTCAGAATTCTCTCTATTTCAAGACGTCAAGTTTTATTAGCTGATGGCAATACATTTGCTTGATAATTTCATATAGCATTCAGTTATGTGGATTCAATTTATTTTGATGAACCAATGCAAAGTATTATTTAACTGACCTTACTAAGGAATTTAAAATTTGTTCAATGTATGGTCCATTTACCACAATTGGTGAAAACTGGTATTTGTGGTACAAATTACATAATTCATTAGAATTTGAACAAAACTGAGCTCCTTGGTGAAACAATCTTATTTTTTTGCATTATTTTACTTTATCTAAATTTTGGAATAACAAAATTATTCAAGGAACACACATATGAACAAAATATAGTCTACTCATGATTATAAATGACAGTATACTATATTAAAATAGACTGTATTAATGAATTCCATAGGAAATATGGCTGCATTATATTGAGGGTATTCTTTTTTTGAAGCACCCAATTCAGTTGAATATTAGTAAATACAAGAATAAAATTCAGGGTGCAAGATCTTTCTTTTCTACATTTTCCATCTTTAAATTTAAAAAAAAAATGAAGTAGGACTTTGTTAAAGAAAATGACAGAAAAGGAAAAGTTGTAAATAATTATCAGATGTATTAAATTTTGTTCAACTAAGGCTACACTTCTTTATGAAGTCTACTGTAGCATGGGTCCACACAAATTATGTTTCAATTATACCTACTGGTTTTGTAAAATATCCAGATAAAAATAGAAGTTTAACATTGTCTTGATAAAATCACAAGTAAGCAAGAATTACCATTATTAAAGATGCATTTGTTCATTTAAGAAACAAACTCAAACCAGCTCCTTTTGAACAAAATATTTGCAGGCTGAGTTTCAAATTAATGAATTTTGTAAAAACAATCAAATTTAACCAATAGAATAAGAATTGAGAAACTCAAAGAAAGAATAGACCTATTGATTTAAAAGGGAAACTACCATACATTTTAAAGTTGATTACCTACAACTACTTATAAGAAACACAGATATTTTCTAAGTTATTTTCCAACTTTATAAATTCAGCGATGATTCAGAGGTCAGGAGAGAGTATAAGTGACCTGAAGTTATACTGTAGGTTTCCTCTTATTTTTCAAAATGCCTTCTAAATCAATTTATATCAAATTTATTTGATTACTTTGCAGACCTAGTGTTTATTTTGGAAAGTAAATTGAGTTAAGAAAATAAACAGCTTTCATCTGTATCTCACTTTGGTTGAGAATTTCTAAGAAATGTCAATATTATCTTAGAAAGAATGAAGAGATTTTTGAAGAAGATTTGTTTCCCCCAAAAGAGAAAATAATTTCTTTCTAAAATATTTGTTCACCACTGGACATGTCACCAATTGGAAAGTGTCAATATCATCTGTAAATGTGAGAAGTAGAGTAAGAAGAGGCCTGTCTCTTGAAATGCAGTGAGGCAGTAACCCAGGGCAAGGTTTAACAAATCCTGATTGTGTGATTTCTTATCATTTTGATTCATTTTGTCACCCACCAAACAACCAAAAATACAGCATAGAAGATAATTTTAGCACATAAGAGAGATTTGTCAAATAATATATAATGTTATTATAATTATCATTATAGCAATAATTTAGTAGATGGGTCTTTTTCAGTGTTGAACTTTGAAAAATAAGTACAAGCAGGGAGCAATTTTCAACTTACTGATACCTGTTGAAGTCACTCAATTACTGCTTTTATCATTCACCCTTTTTTTCCCCCTAATCTTACCATTTGCTCACATGTACAATTACACATGCTCAATTGTTCTTCTTGGCCATTGAAATGTATGAACAGTATGTAAAAATGTAAAGACTTTGATTTTTCCATTTAAAAAATTAATATGCATGGTCTTTTATTTCTTGTATTTTAATCACCAAGTCAGTGTTCTAAAGTTGTAGGATTACTGTAAAAATTATATTCCAATATTCTACCTAAACTAAAATGTGGCCAGCATTGTTAGTTTTCAAGTTGCCAAAACAATACAGAACATCCGTAATGCAGTTTGTAAAAAACTTTTAACCAGTGTGCAATGATGAAGAGATAGTTCTACATCTCAAGTTTGGAATGAAAAACTAGTATAAGTTGAACACTTATGTGTTGCATGTCTACTATTTAATCTCTATGTGAACGTTAAAGATTTAAAAAAAAATATTCTTTCTCCCATTTAAAGTGGGTTCTAAGAAGCACAAGCAGAGATATTTACCTGTGGAAAACATTTTTGGCTGTAATTGTGCATTGGATAGCATATGCTTTTCAAGTCAGATGTTAGAAATTTACTAGATGTACGATGTTACAGTAGAATAAGATTCTTTTCTCATTTTGTTCTTACTAAAAGAAAAAAAGAACGCTAAGTATAATAGTAAACTGTCTTTGATTATGTCCTGCCAGATGTTTAAATGCAAAGTAAATAAAAAGTAGATACAATAAGATGATGATGATGATGATGATGATGATACTGAATAAACAATCAAATGCTAGCTTTATTTGAAATTAATAACTAGAATACATCATCATTTTTTCAACTCTGTAGCACAGCTGGTTACATTGAATATTTTTCTCTATTATGTTGTTAATTATATAGTAATGTATCAAAAGAGAAATAGATAAGATGTCTTTTCTTTCCTTGTTGATTTATAAAAATGTCTTTTCACACATAAATGATTGAATGTTCCTTTTGAGAATGACCACATAATTATTGGTTAGAAGATACCAATTCTTTAAAAAAGAGTCTATTTATGATCAGAATCAAATATCATTTGCTTCTAAATGTTAATGAAAAAAAATTGAAGATGGTAAAATATTCAGGCTGGACTATATTGACAGCAGAGGTTTCAGTGGTCAACATATTTGTAAATCTTTAGGCTGCTGTGGTTTTTCAATTATTTATAAGTATGTAAATTTTATTGGTAGTAGTCTGAGAATACAAGTTATACTCAGTAATTTGTTAGTATATGTTTATTAATATCTCTTAGTTGAGGCAGATCAGAAACAGCTGTATAGTGTATCTTGTTCTGTGCTAGGCATTGGGGTATCTCAAATCCCTGCCTCAGCATCAATTCAAGGAAGGATTAGTATTTCTGTATTTTCCCCATTTGAAACACTATGTGCATTTGGTTTGTGTACATGTTTTTTGTAGTGTAAGATATGAAATTTTATATTTTTTCAGAAAATAAAAAACCCTTTGAATACAGTTAAATGCACTTGTCATGCTTGACCTCCAAATATACAGACTTTGTCAAATGATTTTGACTAGTTCTAAGAAAAATGTTTGAATTTCCTATGCTAAAAATTTAAAATTCAATCAACTTCCATTTTTCCCATCAACATATTCATGAATCTTTGCATTTGAATAATTTTGGTAACCATAGTTTGATACTGAGGTTGTAGGACGTGAACATAACATGAAACCTAATAAGTTGATTTGTGACAATGTATAACAACATCACTCAGGATATAAAAAGGAAAATAAAGTGTGTGTATCATCTACAATAAGAAGACTTTTTTGCTTACCAGATTTAGTTGGTCATCTGCATCTGCTTATAAGGTGATAGAGTTGCGTTAATATAGGAAACGGTGTCATTAAGTACAAAAGTTCTTTCTTCATCTATTATTGAATGTGTTGTATCATTTTGGTCTCCTTTTGTAAAGAGCATAGCAAACAATTTTGTGTATTTGTGGATATAAATCATATTTGTATTTTTTGTATTTATGTTCATAAAAAAAATGATGCTACCATTCTATGGAAATAGTACATAACTCTCACCTATGCATAAAATCACTCTTCCTTGGGATATCATTCAATATTTTAATAGATAAACTCATACAAGGATTTTGAGTTCTTTTTCACCAAGTATAGTATTGCTGTTTCTTTGCCACAGTGGTAAAGATTTGATGATAAAAGGGATTTTTCTGCATCGCTTTAGGCACTCCTGACAAGGTAGGAGGGAATAGATGGGGATAAAGGGGGAAATTTGACATTTGATATGACTGCACTATTCTGTATTAGAATTGTTTGTTGTTATCTTTGAAATAAATATTATTGTCTCTACTGATGCAAAAACCATGTTTCAAATCTTAAGCCCAAGACCTGGCTTCTGAATAGCAGAAAGACTTAATTTGGATCCTTTTCTAATGTATGTCATATTTTTCTAGATTATAATCTCAGAAATTGCAATAAATACTTTTAGTTGTTTCCAAGTATAATAGCTGAACTTCATAAATGGCACTTTGAAATCTCCAGGTAATTAACTACCAAATGTTACCAAAAGTAAAACAAATTGATATTTATGAAAATCATCAGTAGCCATTTAAATTAAGTAGCATTGTATTAGATGTAATTTTACTTGAATTAAGCAAGCCAAAACATAAATTGGAATGAAGCTAAGAAATATTGAAATATATAATTTTTTTCACTGTAAGAGTTATTTTGTTTTTAAGTCATTTCTCTAATAACTTTAAAAGTGGATTATGAAAAATAGTATTATGTTGAAGTTATTCATTTCAATTTTAAGTTTCTTTGTGACCCTAATTTTCTAGAAAGTGAACATTTATATTCAATCCTTTAGGTGAGGTATTTATTCTGTTTTTCTATTGAACAAAGGTCAAAATGGAGACCATGCAAGGATATGTGAGATCATATATCCAGATCATATAGCTCATTAATATATTGCTTTTCTTTTTTAAAGTTAACCCTCTGCCTCTGAGTTCCAGATAATGTCCTCCTAACTGTTTTGAATTCTGTCCATATGATTGTTCCTTCTCTTGAATTTTCTCAGTTATCCATCTCCCCTGACTCCCTTCACCTTATTTTTTATATCCACATGAAGGGGTATTACATTGTGGTTGTCTGGAGCCAGCACTTCAAATCCAGCTCTGCCACTTAGTAGCATGTGAACTCAGGCAAGTCATTTAGCTTCCCTAGCCTCAGGTACCTCATCTATTAAATGAGGAAATAATATGGCCACTCTGAGTATCTAGTGAATGCATCTAGAATACATCTGAGATGTATAGTGGAAATGGTACCCACCATGTAATTCTTCGGTAAATCTCCTGCTCTCTTGCTTACCTACCATTTCTTCACTGTGGAAACATATAAAATAATTAACTTTGTTATTTCTCCTCTCATTCATGTCATAGAAATTGTTCCCCTCATTCTTTATTTTAACTTAATGTTACCCAAAAATTTCAAGCACTTAGAAAATGTAATAGTATTTGAATCAGTTTTCTTCTAAGCCAGCTTCAACAATATTCAACTAATGCCAACCTTGTTTTATACAAAATTCCACTAACTCTCCTCTCCCAGATTAAAGAAAAAGCCCAGATATTTTATCATTTCATGTATAAAAAAAAAATCTCCCAAAGAGAGTGATTGTTTTTAAACAATTATATTATTGCACTACTTAATAATTCACAATATTTTAAAATTCCTTCAAATATCCAATCAGCATTCATTTTTATTATACATTTGTTAAGTGTTTCCTTTAAGCAATAACCAAATGAAGTTTCTGTTTATTTACAATCTCTCCCCCTCTTTTCTCTCCAGTTACCTCTCCACTCCTTATAATTTACTTTTTGGAATAGCCAAAAATTTCTACAGGTTTGTTTTATGCAGTTTTCCATATAACCTTATGTAACAGTTCTATTAATAAACTATTATTGATATTTTGACTGGTCCAATGAGTTTAAGTGATCTATATAGATCAATTTTCCAACACTCATTTCTTTTTTCCTCTCACTTATTTAAGCATCTATTATTTTGGACTCTCTAGATCCAGACCATGGTCACTGACTTGGTCTACACTACTGACGTAGTCCCAGTACTGGCTCTCTCACTTACTAGATGTGTGACTTTAGGAAAGTTAGCTTACATGTCTTTGCCTCAACCTCTTAATCTGTAATATGGATAATAATAAAATTACTATGAGCCTTTCACTAACCCCATAATATCTATGTTACTTTCATATGAAGCTATTGTCAACTGTAACATCATCATATGTGCAGCTTCATACACTGAGAATATTCTTCCCCCAGAACTTTGTATGGTTTGCTATTCTTAAGATCTATGATTAAATGTCTATTGGAGTTACTCAGCTTGTCTGGAAGGATCAACTATGTCCAATCTTTTTCATCATGGCCTCTTTATTCCCTTGAAAACACCTTACAAATAAGTGTACTTGTTTGCTTATTTTATTGTTATTATCTTTCTATCTCTAGACTATAAGTTCAATAAAGGCAAAATGTAAGTATATTTGCTTGACTGCTGTTTACCTATCACCTAGCAGAGTTCCTGGAACAGCATAGGCATTTAGTATTATTGTCTGGATGAAAGAAATAATAAAGTATTCATCACATTTGGCATAGAGTAAGTCCCAAGCAAATACTACAATTAATGTTGGGATAGAGAACATCACTCAATCTTCCCTTTGGATTTAACCAATTAAGACAAGATATAAGAAACCATGGAAGATGAAATATTATTGAATCAAACCCTTCTGAGTCCTAATATATAAGCCACCATGACACTACTGAATAGAAGAATGTGACTTGAATATAGGAGAAAATTAGATATTCCTCTTTTCCACTCCTAGTCAGGACTTTGGAAAACATTTATTAGTAAAACTTTTTTTAGTAAAAGTTGACTTCAAATACACTTAGTTTTCATGTAGAAGATTTTTGACTACTTAAAATTGAATTTCTGCCATAATAAAAATAGATAGGAATATGGTTGATTTCTCAGTCACCAAGCCCTCTTCTTAAAGTCTGCCCCAGTAACCCCACAAGTTATGACACATGATGTGGTGTGATGAATGTTAGGCTTTCTGCAATCAGATTGTATAATCTTCACCTAATAAGCAATCAAGTAAATGACTGAATTAGAGAATAAGGTATTCTTCCAGTGACTTTTCCAAAAAAATAGAATTTTTCATAGTATCTTTTTCTGATACTAAAGCAGGAATATAGTAGAAGAGGTACTTTGTTCACTGTCTCCAATGATTGCTTTTGATATTATTGTTATTTTATTGTGATTTTCAGAATAAGATCTCTGCTTTCAAGAAACTACAGAACATCAGGAACTAGTGAAAATTAATAGTCAATCTCTGATGGCTAAGAAAAGGATTTTCCATGGAATTTATACCCTAGAGGTATACCTTCTAATATGCTAGTACCCAGCCATCTATGGTTAATTAATTTTAAATTTAATCAAAAAAATTAATTCTTCCTTTTACCAGACATATTTTAAGTGGAACTAGTAGTCCTCCTACTAGATTTTGTAGGTATATACATGTCCATCATTCTGAAAGTTATGTGGATGGTACTGAGCTACAGTACTGACTATCTTGTATATATTTTGCATGAAAGATGTCTTTGGACAGAACAGAGTCAAGAAAATCAATTTGTATAGGGATATAGTAAGTCAGGTAGGGGAGACAGATAGTGGCGGTAGGGTGATACTGATAGAAAAGAACTAATATAAAATTAAAGAGATAGAATCAGTAATTCACATGAGTAGATGCTCTTTGTTTAGGAAAACAGAAAGATACATCCAGAATTTCTTGCTTTCGTGGCTAACTACAATTAGAACTTAAAATTTTTATCCTATGGATTAGAGTAAGCTTCAATAAATCTAGCCTAGTACTTTTCATGGTTATTTCTCTGACCAAAGAAGAGACGGAGTCTTTATAGCTTGTCTGCAGGACTTTGGATTTCAGCTCAGGTCTCAGTAACTGTTCAAATCTAAAAACATTCAGGTCCACCACAAATAAGCATCAGCATGCTGCTCAGTGCACTACAATCTATATCTGGAAGAGAAACATTTCTCCTAAAAAGAGCAACACAATTTTTATTGACAAAATGCTGACTCAAAGAGGCCTGGACATCAATCTATATTATCAAAAGAACACTGGGCTTAGAAGTTTAAAACTCCATTATTATTTCTAAGATTTAATCCCAGAGAGTTATTTTCTGTGTATCTATAATTAATGGTATAGTTCTTTTTTTCTGTTCCATTTTTTTGAATGTGTATCCAACCAAATATATTTTATTTTTTATAAATTTATTTCTTTTATTGGGGTAACATCTTGAGAGTCTCCCATTAGAACCACAGACAAACACACACACACACACACACACACACTAAATGGTGGGGGAATGGACAGGTTAAGATTTATACCTTCTAGAAGTAAAACTTTTATATCCCTATCTTCTGTAAGTCCCATTAATGTTTTGGGATTATGAAGACTATATAATTCACATAATCAAATTACAGGGATTAATGTTAAAGCACTGGAAAATGATTGAAGGCAGCAGTGGGAAATATAGTAGTATCAGCTGTTCGTTCCCACAACCGCATCTAAATTTGCATTCTCTGAGTTGGATGCATATTTCTTTTTCTTTGGAAGATGACTCCAAAATGTGATGATAAGGAAAGGAAAAAGAACCAAAACCAATGTGATAATATTGTAGAAACCAAAGACTCCATTTCCACCAGGATCTCTGGGAAGTAATGACAATGTCTCTCAGAAAGAGCCTCTAAAGGATGAAATGTCTGTATATCTCTCCTACACTAGTTTCCATCTCATGTTGATTGGAAGTTGCCTCTGAACAGGGAAAAAAAATCATTCAACATGCTTTCGACATGAGTTATTACACGTCAGGACTATCAACTATAGCTGGAATAAAATCAGTCAGTAAATAAGTGTTAGATGCTGTTTAATTTTTGTACTGCTCAGATACACTTAAACTTCTTATTTCTATGCTTTAAGAAAATGGCAGTTTTTCTGGCATGTGATCAATGTAGACCTTTAAGGTTCATGTTCAGTAAGCCTTGCCACTTGAAGTTTAATGCCTTATAGTCACCATCTTGAAACTCTTACATGTGTTTTGAACTTGTGTTTTGTAAGTAAAATCTGATGAAACAGGAAGCATATGTGTGAGAGCAGGTTGATGAAAGAGAGGGTACTTGCAGTGTTGGCTGCTGAATAGCCCCATCAGTCACCATCTCTTTGGGAAGACTTCTACACTGCATGCACCCCACCCACTAGGTACAACCAGTGAGTGGTTTACTCCCTTTCCCCTAGATCACTGCTGCCAGCTCTCCCTTCCTCCACAGTGA